ACTAATTGTTGCTCTCAGAGTCTGTGTTACTGGTGTTTTATTTAGGAAGTATTCCCTGTGCCTATGTGTTCAAGGTTATTTCCCACATTCTCTTCTATGAGATTCAGTGTGAATGGCTTTATATTGAGGCCTTTGATCATTTATGCTTGAGTTTTGTGCATGGCGATTCATATGGAGCTATGCGCGTTCTTCTACACGTTGACAGCCAGTTATACCATCACCATTTGCTGAGTAGGTTTTCTTTTTTCCATTTTATATTTTTAGCTTCTTTCTCTAAAATGAGGTGTTCATAGGTGTGTGGGTTGATATCTGGGTTTTCTATTTGACTCCATTGGTCTGCCTGTCTATTTTTATGCCAATACCAAGCTGTTTTCATTAGTATAGTTGTAAGGTACAGCTTGAAGTCAGGGATGATGATGCCCCCAGATTATCCTTTTCTGTGCAGGATTACTTTGACTATCCAGGAGCTCTTGTTTTTCCATATGAATTTAATATTATTCTTTCAAGATCTATGAAGGTTTGTGCTGGTGTTTTGATGGGGATCACATTGAATCTGTAGATTAGTTTTGGTAGGATTGCCATTTTTACTATGCTAATCCTACCTATCCAAGTGCATGGGATATCTTTTAGTTTTTTCACACATTCTTTAATTGCTTTCTTTAGAGACTAGACATTCATGTCATACAGATCTTTCACTCGTTTGGTTAGAGTTACCCCAAGATAATTCAAATTATTTGTGACTATTATAAAGGATATTGTTTCTCTGATTTCCGTCTCAGCCCATATGTCATCTGTGGGTATAGAAGAGCTCCTGATTTTTTGAGTGAATCTAGCATCCTGCTATATTACTTAATGTATTTATCAATTGTAGGAGTTGTCTGAGTAAAGTTTTGGGTCACTTATGTAAACTATGGTATCAACAGCAAATGGCAAGAGTTTAACATCTTCTTTTCCCAATTTGTATCCCCTTGATCTACTTTTGTTGCCCAATTACTTTAATTAGAACATCAAGGACTGTTTTGAATAGATATGGAGACAGTGTACAGCCATCTCTTGCTCCTGATTACAGTGGACTTGTTTGGAGTTTCTCTCCATTTAGGTTGATGTTGGCTGTTGGGTTACTGTATAGTGCCTTTATTATGTTTAGGTATGTTACTGGCATTCCTATTCTCTCCAACACCTTCATCATGAAGAGCTTTTGAATTGTGTTTAAGGCTTTTTCAGCATCTAGCTAGATAATCATACGTTTCTTTAGTTTATTTATATGGTGGAATACATTGAAAGATTTTTGCATGTTGAACCATCCTTGCGTCTCTGGGATGAATCCTACTTGGTCACGGTTGATGATTTTTCTGGTGTGTTCTGGAATTCGTTTTTCCAATATTTTGTTGAATGTTTTTACATCAAAGTTCATGAGGGAAATTAGTCTGTAATTTCTCTTTTTAGTTATGTCTTTGTGAGGATTTAAGATTTAAAAAGTGACTTTGGCAACACCATCTAAATCAACATAATACAGGGTCCCCGGGAGTAGTACATGAGCATCCAAGTTTGCACGAGGTCTCCCAGGCAGTGCTGGCAGCCAGAGAGTACAACTAGGAGAAATCTGGGAGGACAGGTGGAAGAGACACAGCACAAGGAGAGGAGGACACTAGGGGACAGTCACCCAGCCACACAGTCAGCCAAAGAGTCAAAGTGAAAGTAAGAAATACAGAAGTAAGATAAAGAAAAAGCCCAGAGGAAAAGGGAAGGTGGGGTAACTTAAGTTAAGGAAAGCTAGCGAGAAATAAGCCCAGGTAATCCATGTGTTTAATTTTAATCAGGCATGTTGGGAGAGCCAAAGAGGGCTTCTGGTTGCTGGATTTCAGTTCTTTGATAGCTGGACCTTGGTAGTCAGCCTCAGGAGGAAGAGGCCAAAGAAGAGTTAGACCTTAGTGGCTAGCTTTAGGTATGTGATCCAATGTTTTTTAGCAAGGCATAGAGGATTTGGGAGAAGGGCAAGGCCTGCCAGAGTCCTGTTTGCCAGGCTCAGGCTAGTTAGAGTCCCTTCAGTTTCCTTCCCCATTCTCTTACAATGAGAGCAACGTAGCCCAACTCCTTTGTTTCTGTTGCCAATAGGGGTTATAGTTATTTCTAATGATTATTCTATTTATATGTTACCTCATCTGTGCGGTACATCATCATCGAATAGCTTTCCTATGCCCTAGATCTACATGGCCCTCTGAGATCTACATCAGCTCTCTGGATGGGCCCTAAAGATCCCTTCCTCTGTTTGACATCCTAAAAAACACGCCCACAGCAATAATCTGTCAGAGAAATCATCCTTGTTAAATCTATTGGCAGTCCATGCTGTTTTCTGAGACCGGGTAATGGAGGAGGGTCCAGGAATATTAGGCCGATCCATCAGGAAAGCAGGGATGACTCCTTTAAGTGCAGTCTCTAGGGTTGTGTCATGCTCCTCCAGTCATTTTCAACAGGCAGAAATTGGATGAATCCTGCCGAATAGTAGGGAGTCTGAACAGGGGAATGCCCTAGAAATCGAGGAAGCACGTGACTGAGAGGCCCCTAGGGGACTCCTAGCTCCCATCCCCTTGATGATGGCATTTCATATGTTCTAATAAAGTTTGTGGTTTTCATTCTCTTTTCTCTGTGTGTGTCCAGCACTACACCATTCTTCCCACCACATTCAATTTCCTGGGGCCTGCTGCTGTTGCTCCTTTCATGTGTTTGTCCATTGCATTGCCTGAAAATCCAACCCTTTGTTCATGGCACGCAACATCAGCAGATTGCCTACACGAATACCCCTCATCTCAAGAGCCCCGGATCACAACTACTAACAGTCTATGAACTTCTTTCTGCCCACCTCTACTTAGTTCAAAGCATGTACCCCATGGGCTGTAACACTCTGGGCTCTGTACAACTTTTAGTTCAGCCTCCCAAACAAGACCTTTATCCATGGCTTCATGTTCTGTGAGCCCTTGTATGTGATTAGTGATTGTATTTCAATATCACATAATCCCGGGGGATGAAATGTATTTGGGAAAATGAGAAATGGATTGATTTTTCTCTCCCTGCTCCCCCGTGAACCCAGTACATCATCTATGGCTATGAGGAAGCTAAGATGAAGATCTGTTTCATTTTCATTACAGGTCAGGGTGACCCAGTCAAATGGGTTCCCTGCCATAACCTCTTCTACAAACTTTTCTTTTTGCTACCTGGTGTTAGGGTCTTCAAGAAGTCCCACAAAACACCACCATCCATGTATGCAACCAGTGAGTGTTTACTATCTGGAGAGTAAATTTTCCAGCAAGCTGGGGCCGCACATCTGACAGGAAGGCAAAATGGGGACCCCAAGAGAGCATGCCGGCTCCTTGTAAGCATAGCCTGGGCGAGTTTCAGGGACAGGTAGGCTATGTCAAATGTAGTTGGTTAAGCAAGTATCAGTTATGTCAGTACATTTCTGATTGCCTGGGGCAGCAGCAGCTGGCTGGGGCTATAGGTTTTCCATCTTTGACTATGTTTGGACAAGTCCCAGGACCTGTTCCTGTTTGGGCATTGCCTTGAGGTACTGTGGGGACTGGCTCTGGCCTGGTACCTGTTATGTCCCTCTTCTCTGTTTACCTGGTATCTCTCTTGTTGTTTTTTTTAGGAAACTCGGGCCCAGTTGTAAAATGGGAAAAGTTCAGACGTTTCACATGGAATCAAGAAACAGTAACATTTACACACGAAGCCAAGTCTTTAGATACATTTGAACATGCCCTTTTTAAATTCTCGGAGAAGCTTCTGATAGAATGATGAAACTCATAGGCTAGGAGATTACTGCAAGTTACCAACCACAGCTTGGGACGTTTTATTTTTAAAATTTTCATATCTCATTTCCTTATCTTCTGCCTCAGAGACACCGCATGCTTGTATAGTTACCATGCACAAAGAAAGGTGTTCCTGTTGACTCCACCTATCACAATCAATCATACCACAAGCCTCGTGCTCACACGCATGATGACAAAAGGGAAATTTGAACTTTTCCAGGAGCTAATGATTACCTCCCCTCCCACCCTTCTGGGTAGTCAAAGCTGTTAAATAATGGGGAATGACTAAGGAGAGATACTCCTGAACATAAATTATAAAGCGTCCATGAGATCCACATTCATTTTTTCCAAGGTGAGGGGATAGTTTTGTTTTATGAAACAGTGTCTCATACCACCTTGCTGTAAAGCAGAGGGTGACATTCAACTTTTGATATTTCTGCCTCCATCTCCATGGTGCTGTGGTTTCAGGTGTGTATCACCATCCCTAGTGTATAGTTAATCGGCAGGGCAGGGATGTATTCCAGGGTTTCCTGAATACTAGGGAGTCCCTAAAAAATCAAGCCAGACTCACAATGTAGGGTAAAGGGTCCAAGGAAAGAACACCCTGACCCAGAGATCAGGGCAAAGAGAAAACACCCTGACCCTGACATGACACCAAGGACTAGAGCCGAAGGAAAAACACCCTGACCCTACCTTGATCCTGAGACCAAGGCCAAGTAAAGAACACTCTGACCCTGATTTGACCCCAAGCCCCAAACCAGGCCCAAGCAACAGACTCCCACCAATCACTACACTTGACCCAAGATCAGGCCACAAAAAATCCCACCGATTTCAGGCCACCCAGGAAAGCTCCACCCCTATCCCTCACTCCAAAATACTCTATGTAAACTTTACTTTGTCTTCTTCAGTTCCCTGGTGCTTCTCGACTGATTATAGGTAGCCACTCTCCTGTTTTTCCCTCCCAATAAATCTCCTGTGTGAGATTCGTTGTTCAGTGTGACTCTGTAGTATGGTCTGGTTCCCAACTGCCAGGATACCTTTCCCTTCAGAGCTGTAACACTTGTACTGGGGAGCCTTTCCCTGGCTGGAGCATAGCTGTAACACTTCTGTTGGGGAAGCCTTTCCCTGCAGACCTGTAACACTTTCACACAGTCCCTAAAGATAAGAGCTTGTACATCAACGTGATACTTTAACTTTGCTGAAAAGAAATTTATTGCAAACAACAGCCAAACAGAAACAGAAAAAAAGTGAACTTGCTTCAAAAGGAACATGGACTTCAGATCTAATGTCCAGAGGAAGACCCCATGGCATTGAGGACATCCCAGTTCAGTCCACTTGGGGCTTCAGGACAGGCTGAGCTTGTTGAAGAGGTATTCAGCCAAGCGGTTCTCTGGGGCCCCCATCTGGCGCAGATTGGTCAAATAGAGGCTCACCTCCTTCAGAACTTGGACCTGCTGATCCAGGCAGTGTTGCTTCAGGAAGTCGCAGAGGTAGGCGTTGCCTTTTCCCTTGGCCAATGCATGCAGGTTCAGCAGGCTCTGGTTGGTGGTCATCTCCATGTGGAAGGCACACTCCATGGCCTGGATGCCCCCTTGCCAGCTGTCACGGTCTGGTCTCGCGATGTTATGGAGGACGATGCGGCCTCCACACTTATTCTGCAGGGCCATGAACATCTCGGCACAGGCCTGGTGGTGGTGTGACTTGCTCAGGGAGAAACGCTTCAAGTTCCCCTGGGCCATGTCATCACGGTCAAAGTGGAAGGCCATCGATAAGTACACGTAGGAGGCGTACATCTCTAGCTGGATATGGGTGTTGATAGCGTCCTCGCAATCGAGGTCGTAGCTCTGGTGCACTCGGGAGGGCGCTGCGGCCATTATGGCGGGCACTTGAACACCACGACAGTCTCAGCAGCTCCTGTTCCTGCTCAGAGGGGCACGGCAGGTGTGAAGGCGGAGAACACACCGTACCTGAGTCCCTCAGAAGAGAGGAAGACGCCGCGTGCAGCTCAGCGCATCAGCACGACCTCAAGCGGCTCTGAGGGAAACACGAGGCGGCAACAGAAGTGACTATTGGCGCCTGATGATTACGTCATTCCAGCGCCAGGGCTTACAGCGGCAAGGGGGCAGGTCAAAGCGCTGGTTTCCGTAGCAACGGGGCGTGGTTGGCTCTGACTGACCTACACCAGGTTTTAAAGGACTCTGGGAATAAACTCCAAAGGATTAGGCTAAATCCTCTGGGTGCTTCATAAAGTAGTTTCTCTGGATATCTCTACAACGTTATGTCTCTCAACATTCTGCCGTTTGCTTTCCTAAGGTAAACTGTATGTCACACAGCGTTTTCCGAATGACAGCTCTCCTCACTGGCCTCAGCTAGCATTGAACTCACCCTAGGAGGATAGGGTCACGGGTTAGGACGTAGGGTCATCGGTGCCCAGTGCCATCAGTAAATCAGGCAACTGTGTGATAACCTTAACTTCCACATAGGATTTTAAAATCGTTTTTCCGATAATAAAAGTGACAGCTTTTTTGATTAACATAGAGGGTGCCTGAGAAAACACTCTGATGCCTTTCTGTGGGTACTGTAATTATTCATGGTGATTCAACGTCCTCCAACATTCTTTTACTGCCTTTTCAATCAATAAATGAATGCAGTTAATTAAATTAGCCTTAAGATTCTATTTTTTCTTTAGTATGAGCATGAGTGCAAGTATTAAGTGATCTTTTAAGAAGGCTATGTTATACTTCCTAGTGAGGCTTTTCTCCATAAACTGTACATTTTGCATTTTTCCTTCCTCAGCTTGCTCCTTTCCATTATAAGTCTGCATAGGTGTGATTACTAATAACCACAAGACACACTCAATACTAGGCTGATTTACAATTGCCTTTACCAATGCCATTAATCCAAAACTCTTCAGTTTACTCTCAGGAAGATTTTTTTGGACAAGTGCAAAAACCAGCCAAATCTGTCATCAAAGTATCACAGGAATGATCTCTGGGTCAATTAAGTTTTCCCTCTGAAACTTCTAGAGCTAGGCCCCCACAGTTGAAATCACCATCGGTACTATCTTCCATGCTCCAACTAGGATGGTGCATTAAACCCTGCTTAATTCGTTCAACTCTTCCCTACTCCAAAGTCGACATAATGCCAATAAGGGGCGTTGTTATGCCTGTGAGAGTAATACTCTTCTCCCTGGCACCAACTTCTGCCTTAGTCGGTGTTCTATTGCTGTGAAGAGACACCATGACCATGGTGACTCTTATAAGAGAAAGCATTTAATTGGGCTTGCTTACAGTTTCACATGTTCAGTCCATTTTCATCATGCCTTCTCCCTCTCCCTGGGTCCTGGACTACCTGGCTCTGTTCCTGCCCCCAACTCCCCTCCTTCTCAGGCCCGGTGGTTTCTCCCCGGCACTTACCTATGCCAGCCCTGTCCTGGGCCTGGGCCTGGGCCTTCTCCTTAGGGAACCTCTCCTCGTTGCTGTGGGGCCTATCTAATCCTAGCCTACCCAGGGATCCTTCTTCTCCAGACAACCTTCCTCTACCCTGGGATCTGTCTTTTCACCCTGGGATCTGTCTTTGACGGGTGATCACTCCTCAATGACAGCTCAAAGGCTGGCAAAGTTTGCATGGCTCCGTGGAGCATTTGTTAATTGGCTGAATAAGTACTCTGCATGCAGAGGCCACTCGGAGCTTGGCCAACAACAGCTCCATGACTCCAGCGTCAATGGCGCCTACTGCTGAGCCTCGTTCTAAACTGCCCCCTTTCCCTGGGATGTCTGATCTTGCTTTCACTCATTGGATGAGTCAGTGTTTCTACCCTAGTCTCATTTTAACTTTTGAGCTTCAAAATTTGTAAATAAATGAGGCATCATCGCTTGTATCATTTACTGTCAGTGTTGCAATCAGACACAAAAACACTATAATGCCAGACTTCATACCTGAATCTCCTAGATCCATTAGTTTATATTTTCTCAAATAGAAATAGAAAGAACCACATTACTCAGTATATCTCTATGGGGATACCAAAAATGATATTAATGCTAACAATATACATGAAATTTGATAATAATAGTATATATTAATACAGTTATTTTTCTGACTCTCATAAATTTCCCTTTTTACAAAACTGTACTTGAGACAATTCACTTGATATCTACATTTGTTATACATATATGAATCAAATAAAAGCTACTCCTGTTTCCTTTTTGACAATCAATACCACTGAAGGCAAAGGCAGCATAGAAAAACACTCATACATTCTCAAAGAAAGTGTATTTTACTGGGGTTTTCCACAATGGTTAAGCAAAAGATTACTGACATAATCTTATTTTGCCGATACATTTATTTTTTTTTGATGTTTGAATCACTTTTTCTGGTGTTTCCTGGCATAAAAATGTCAAGATTGTAATGAGCACATCTCAAATGAGACCATCCAAAACAAGTGAGTATAAGATGACGGTATTTTTAGTTCATTAGGCTCCAGTGCTTCAAACATTATTTGTGGGAGAACGAGGGAGGATAATGGATGGAGGGGAAGGAGAAGGGGAGAAGAGGAATGGGGAGGAGAAAATGAGGAATCAGGAAGATTGTGTCCAGGGATGAATAGAGGAGAGCAAGAAAAGAGATACTTTATTATAGGGAGCCATTATAAGTTTAAAGAGAAATATGGCACTAGGGAAATGTCCAGAGATATACAAGCATGATTTCAACTAAGAATCTAATCAGTAGTGGAGAGGCTACCTTAAAAATTCCTTCCCATATTATGAGACTGATGACTACCTTATATGCCATCCTAGAGTCTTCATCCTGTAGCTGATGGAAGCAGAAACATACACCCATAGCTAAGCACTGGGCCAAACTCCTGGAATCGAGTTGTAGAGAGGAAGGAATGATGAGCAATGGGGTCAAGACCATGCTGTTGAACCCCTCAGAAACAGCTGACCTGAGCAAGTGGGAGTTCACAGAGCCCAGTCTGACAGCTGGGGAACCAGTGTAGGACCAAACCAGGCCCCCTGAACATGGTTGTAAGTTAGGAGGTCTGGGCAATCTATGGGACCTATGACAGTGTAACCAGTATTTATCCCTAGTGCACAAATGGACTTTAGGAGCCCATTCCCCATAGTGGCTACTCTCTCAGCCTAGGTACACATGGGAAGGCCTAGGCCCTTTCACAAATAATGTGACAGACTTTGATGATTCCACAGTGGAAGGCCTTGCCCACCCTGGGGAGTGGATGGGGGGTTCGATGGGGGCCATGCGAGGATGAAAGGTAGAGGAAACTGGGATTGATATGTAAAATAAGATTGTTTCTAAATTAAATAAAATATAAAAAACTTATTTATGTAAAAAATACAATTTGTAAACAATGTACAAAATACGACATATTCAAAGAAGTTACTACTTATTGAGCACCCATATGGTCATTTAAGTCCCATCTCTTGCAGCCATCACCAACAGGCACTCCTTACTCAGAAACATAAATGCTAATCTTCATACAGATGACTAAAGTAGAAAACTGAAAACACGTTTTAAGATCAATCACCATTGATGGACGTATGATTCTAATGTATTCTGTGTAAAACAGGAATTTTTCCTTTTCCTATACTCTTTTTTTCTTTTTTTCTATTTTGCTTTATATTTACATTAGAAACAAGCTTGTTTTTCATGTCAATCCCAGTTCCCTCTTCCTCCCCTTCTACCCTGACCCCCACCAACCCCCTACACCATCCCCTTTCTGTGGTATAGACTGTGGCTTACGTTAATGATCAAGGAAAACAACCGAGTCCCAGTAGCCCAGCTAGCTCAAATCCCTTAATATTGAGAGATGTATTCACAGGTTCCAGAAAGCATCATTACTGAAACAAAGCTTTGAAAATAACAAAGATAGACTAAGATATTTTTGTTTAATAGCTTATAGGTAAAAACTCAAGAAGACAATATAAAATTTTAGAAAGGTACATAGCTGAGTGAGAAACTCGTTACAGTCGGGGAACAAAGCAGCCAAGTTATTACCAGGTAATTGACTTTTCTTGCTAGGAACAGTTGGTCACCAAACACTTTTAGGTTTTCAGATATCTATTATGATGGTTTATTTTGATTAAATTTTTGTTTATATATAACTCAAAATAAAGGTTCTTCTTTATTCAGAATCCATGTGCATTTGAAAAAATGTGATTTTGAAAACATGTGTTATACTGGAATGTCAGTTACAACATAGTGTCCTCTGTATGTGACAGGAAAACTGCATTCATGAATGTGGTTGCCTAAAATAAAACTAAACTATGACAGCACAGTTGCCATGCCAGTGTGGAAGGGGTAAATCTCAAAAGGCCACACACCTAGATGAAGAGCTATAGACAATTAATGACTATGGCGAGAGAGGGAGATTGAGACAGATAGACAGAGATTGAGAGAGAGAGATTATCAGTGTTACTCAGGTATAACCCCCCTTATTGGTTGTTCAGTCCCAAGTGGGCAGTCCTAAATACATACACATAAGAGTAGCACTAAATGGACTTTACAGGTTTTATTTATGAGTAAGGGTGTGTACAGCAATAATAATTAAAGAATAACAGGTCATGAATTTGAGAAGTGAAATTTAAGGGTTCAGGGGAGAAGTCCAAGGTAAGAGAGTTAATAGAGATAGGATGTAAGAGTATTTATATATTATAATATTTAAAAAGCAACAAAAGAAAGATGCCATGCAACAGAGTTCAAGTGGAGGGTTTTTTATTAGGGAAAAGAAAAGGAAAGCAGGGAGCCCTGCCTCCAAGACAGGAGTAGTGGGAGACAGGACAGAGAGGCAGAGAGAAAGTGTGTGTGTGTGTGTGTGTGTGTGTGTGTGTGTGTGTGTCAGAGACAGACAGACAGGCAGGCAGACAGACAGATACAGAGAGATAAGGAGAGAAAGAAAGAGAGGAGGATGGGAGGTAGCCTGGGCCCTTTTAAGGGAGGGTAGTGAATGTTCCTTCAGCTGAGGGCATATCCTGTCAGAAAACCAAGGACAGGCCAGTACAGATGCCTGAATACTAACATTATACATGAAAGTTTTCAAAATTAAAACATGTTTCTAAATATTCCCTACTTATATCACTGAT